TTCTAAGAAAAACTGTTGGGTTTGGGATGTGGAATAGGTCAGGGCATTTTAAGACATTGAAAGATGCTTTGTCTTTCCTTCCAGTGCTGGCCATGTATGATCCGAACAAAGTAACGAAAGTGTCAGAGGATGCATCGTCATATGGCTTGGGCGCCGTTCTTCTTCAAGAGTGGGGAGATAAATGGAAGCCTGTGGCTTACGCATCGCGTTCACTCACTCCAACTGAACGCTATGCACAGGTGGAAAAAGACGGCCTGGCTCTAACCTGGGCATGTGAAAGATTTCGGGATTTCCACCTAGGAAAGCATTTCTGCCTGGAGACTGACCACAAACCACTTGTCAGTTTGTTTGCAGACCAAGCACTAGATCTTCTACCCTTGAGAATTCAGCGATTCAGGATGAGGCTCATGTGTTACTCTTACTACATTGTGCATGTGCCCGGAAAGTCACTTTGGACAGCAGACACATTGTCACGTTCGCCTATGGACTTTCACATGTCCAAAGCAGAAATGGAGCTGATGGAAAGCACTAACATATATGTGGACTGTGTAGTAGACACCTTGCCTGTTAGCCACACATATATGGAAATCATAAAAGAGCAGTTTCAAGCTGATAGTATTTGCTCTCGAGTCATGAAATTGTGTGCAGATGGATAGCCAGTGCATGCAAAACAGGAACCTGCACTGAGAGGATACTGGCCAGAACGAGCTACACTCACTGTACAAGATGGATTACTACTGAAAGACACTAGGCTTGTCATCCCATCCACCCTGAGGAATGAGGTATTGGAGAGGCTGCATGAAGGACACCAAGGGGTGGTGAAATGCAAAGAACGTGCTCGTCAGTCTGTGTGGTGGCCAGGACTCAGTCAGCAGGTCAGTGAAATGGTGCTCAAATGCAGGACATGTATTCAAGAGCGTCAGAATCCTAAAGAGCCACTCATGACATCTGAGTGCCCTGAAAGACCATGGCAAAAGTTAGGGACTGACATGTTTGTAGTCAGAAGGAAAACATACTTAGTTGTGATAGACTATTTCTCCAGATATGTCGAGATTGCACTGCTATCGAACACTAAGTCAACTGATGTCATTGTCCATTTGAAGTCAATCTTTGCCCGGCATGGGATTCCAGAGGAGTTGAAGTCAGACAATGGACCACAGATTTCTGGCCAAGATTCCTCTCATTTTGCATCCACGTATGGGTTCAAACACATTACCAGCAGTCCAAAGTTTCCACAAAGTAATGGAGAAACTGAACGTGCAGTTCAGACAGTGAAAAGTCTCTTGAAAAAGGCTAGCGACCCTTATCTGGCCCTGCTTGCCTACAGAACTACCCCTCTCCAGAGTGGGTTCAGTCCAGCTCAGCTGCTTAAGAAGCGACGTCTTCATACCACTGTGCTGACTCTTCCCTCTCAGCTAGATCCAGCATTGCCAGATGTTGACCATTTTGCTCGTAAAGAAGAGGAAATTGAATACTGAATACTACAACAGGAGACATCGTGCAAAACCTCTTAGTGATTTGGTACCAGGAGAGCATGTATGGGTCACTGATACAAAAGAATCTGGGACTGTGCTGCAGAATCACATGAGTCCAAGGTCATATCTGGTGGATGTACCTAAAGGTGTGGTGAGATGCAATCGTCAGCTTACACACACATGCAAGTGAAGGAGGAGCGGTGGAGCAGCAGCAGTTGCCAGAGACAAACAGTGAACAAGTTTCTACATCACCTGGGAAAATACTTAAAAACTTTCCTAGTGTGATAGCTACCCCAAGGACAAGGTCTGGGAGAGCTATAGTTAAACCAGAGAGACTGAATCTCTGAGCTGAGAAAGTGAAAAAGAGTTAATGTTGATGTGTAGTTCAGTAAGAAATATGAGATGCAGAACAGTTTAAACACAGTTAGGTGTATTGGATTAGTAAATAGTTATATGATAACATTTTCTTCCCTACAGGATTTAGATAGGAACAGACCTTCAACAAAAGAGGCAGAATAATCCTCTAAGGTCTGGTGAGACAAAGGTAGTCTACCCTTTGTTCTCTAGAAAAGCGAGATGTGGTGTAGGGTAAATGGAACCTGTTGATGTTTAACTGTGAAGGGGAACCAATGTTAGACAGAGTAGTGAGGGACATATTTTGAGGTGACACAGTATAAAAGAACTGGAAGGGAGGAGTTAAGAAAAATAAAGCAGTTTGTGTGCAGTGAACTCACGTGTTAGGAGTATTATTACAAAATACAACAGATTGCATCTAATGTTATTTATTATTTTGTTTATTAATTCAAGTATATATTTTCCTACTGAAATAAATATTCAGATCAGTTGTTCCTTTACAAAAACACTCTCCAATATTGTTACTGAAAAGGAAGGAGGAAAATAAACATCAGAATGAACTTCCAATAAAAAAATATGAGTGCCAATATTATCCCTGAGATCTATTGTTCGGAATGGGCTGAAAATGGGGGGAGGGGGGCACAGAGGCCGAAAATGGGTTGTGCAGAGGCTGAAAATGGGATGCAGAGGCCGAAAATGGAGCGCGCGGAGGCAATAGGCTACAGCAATTCCTGCAGCCTGAAACAGCTGATTGTTGGGAGGCCAGTCCAACCAATCCTCAGCTACTTGTGCTAATCAGGCTGTCCTGAAGCTGACCAGGCTGTTGGCTGTTTGCTGCAAGGAGGCAAATTGCTGGGAGGTAGAGGCGGAAGGGTGGGAGCTGGTGGTGGGCGGGGCTTCAGCAATATTTGCTGTATAAGACATTTCCACCCACTTTTTGGGAGGGAGTGCGTCCTACTTTCCATACTTAAAGTTAATAGTTATAGCTATTCTTTTAATAATAAACCTATTTCTTCTAACGCTGAGCCTAATTTTCCAAACTGGTTTGCCTAAGGACCTTTATACACTGCTCAAAAAAATAAAGGGAACATTTAAACAACACAATGTAACTCCAAGTCAATCACACTTCTGTGAAATCAAACTGTCCACTTAGGTAGCAACACTGATTGACAATCAATTTCACATGCTGTTGTGCAAATGGAATAGACAACAGGTGGAAAGCATAGGCAGTTAGCAAGACATCCCCAATAAAGGAGGGGTTCTGCAGGTGGTGACCACAGACCACTTCTCAGTTGCTATGCTTTCTGGTTGATGGTTTGGTCACTTTTGAATGTTGGCAGTGCTTTCACTCTAGTGGTAGCATGAGACGGAGTCTACAACCCACGCAAGTGGCTCAGGTAGTGTAGCTCATCCAGGATGGCACATCAATGCGAGCTGTGGCAAGAAGGTTTGCTGTGTCTGTCAGCGTAGTGTCCAGAGCATGGAGGCGCTACCAGGAGACAGGCCAGTACATCAGGAGATGTGGAGAAAGCCGTAGGAGGGCAACAACCCAGCATCAGGACTGCTACCTCCGCCTCTGTGCAAGGAGGGACAGGAGGAGCACTGCCAGAACCCTGCAAAATGACCTTAAGCGGGCCACAAATGTGCATGTGGCTGTTCAAATGGTAAGAAACAGATTCCATGAGGGTGGTATGAGGGCCCAACGTCCACAGGTGGGGGTTGTGCTTACAGCCCAACACCGTGCAGGACGTTTGGCATTTGCCAGAGAATACCAAGATTGGCAAATTTGCCACTGATGCCCTGTGCTCTTCACAGATGAAAGGAAGTTCACACTGAGCACATGTGACAGATGTGACAGGGTCTGGAGATGCCGTGGAGAACGTTCTACTGCCTGCAACATCCTCCAGCATGACCTGTTTTGGCAGTGGGTCAGTAATGGTGTGGGGTGGCATTTCTTTAGGGGGCCGCACAACCCTCCATGTGCTCGCCAGAGGTAGCCTGACTGCCATTAGGTACCGAGATGAGATCCTCAGACCTCTTGTGAGACCATATGCTGGTGCAGTTGGCCCTGGGTTCCTCCTAATGCAAGACAATGCTAGACTTCATGTGGCTGGAATGTGTCAGCAGTTCCTGCAAGACGAAGGCATTGATGCTATGGATTGGCCCACCCGTTCCCCAGACCTGAATCCAATTGAGCACATCTGAGACATCATGTCTCGCTCCATTCACCAACGCCACGTTGTACCACAGACTGTCCAGTAGTTGGGGGATGCTTTAGTCCAGGTGTGGGAGGAGATCCCTCAGGAGACCATCCAGCACCTAATCAGGAGCATGCCCAGGCATTGTAGGGAGGTCATACAGGCACGTGGAGGCCACACACACTACTGAGCCTCATTTTGACTTGTTTTAAGGACATTACATCAAAGTTGGATCAGCCTGTAGTGTTTTTTTCCACTTTAATTTTGAGTGTAACTCCAAATCCAGACCTCCATGGGTTGCTAAATTTGATTTCTATTGATAATTTTTGTGTGATTTTGTTGTCAGCACATTCAACTATGTAATGAACGAAGTATTTAATAAGAATATTACATTCATTCAGATCTAGGATGTCTAATTTTTGTGTTCCCTTTATTTTTTTGAGCAGTGTACATATAATCATGTATACATGAGCCCATTTTTTTTTAAAAAAATTTTTTTTTAAAGTCTGGCAGTATTTTTGTTTCAGATAAACAAATTCTCCAGCAAATGCCTGCTAAGAATGAAATATCAACACTGTGATTTACAAGAGAATGATAGCTATGCCAAATGCATAGCTATTTAAGTCTTAGATTTGGTATATGATGCCACGTTAACACACTGTCCAAAATTCATGATGGAATTATTGATATTACATACAAAATTCATGATGGAGTTATTGATATTACGTGCTGAATACATCAGATTGGTTCTCTGAAATAATCATGTGGCCAGGACTTAATATACTATATAGCAGGGATCTCGAACCTTGGCAACTTTAAGACTTGTGGACTTCAATTCCCAGCTTTGCTGGCTGACGAATTCTGGGAACTGAAGTCCACAAGTCTTAAAGTTGCCAAGGTTATTTCATGTTCTTCACAAATCTTCACAAATCTAGAAGGTTGTAAACAAAGATTAACATAACTTTGCAATTACCTGTCGACTTCCTTGTTTAGAAGAACAGCTGCTAGTACTTCTTGAAGGTGACAAGGCATTCTGAGACACTCCCAGATTCTTTTCTTCAGTCATGGTTGTAGAACAAAATTCCTCTGAATCAAATTGCTTATAACAGCATCAGAAGGATGGGAAGAAATAGAAGAGAAAAAGCAGAGTCATTTCTTTCCCACATACATTCCAATGGCATTCTTAGCACTCAGTGAAAATTCCTAAGAAAGGAAGGGAAACCCATTATATACATGTCACTTGATAGTCATACAAATACAAGGCAAGAACTGTTTTTCCAGTGAAAAACCCTCAATTGTTTTTCATGAAATTTCAATTTAATCTGGGATACAATATAGCTAAGTCCTCAATTTACAATAATTGAGCCCAAAATTTCTGTTGCTAAGTGAGTTTTAAAGTGAACTTTGCCCCATTTTATGATCTTTCTAGCCACAGTTGTTAAGTAAATCACCAATGTTGTTAAGATAGTAACACAGTTGTTAAGTGAATCTGGCCTCCCCACTTACTTTTATTGTTAGAGGGTCACAAAAGGTGATCACATGAGCTTGGGACGTAGCAAGTATCATAAGTATGAGTCAATTGCCAAATGTCCAAATTTTGATCATGTGACCAGGGAGATGCTGCAATAGTCATAAATGTTAAAAACAATCACAAGCCACTTTTTCAGTGCTGTAACTTATAATGATCACTAAATGAACTTTTTAAGATGAGGATGACCTGTAATAATAACCCTCAAATTTTGAGAAATAATTACAAAGTAGATTTGAAGAAGCTGTAAAACTATATTTCAATGGAAAATTTTATGCTGTCATAATTTTATTTCTTTATTTGAAGACATAAAAAGAAAAACTGTGGGAACCAGAACATATAATTATGAGGGAGATGATTCTTCCTAATATTACAAGTAGCCTTCCTGAAGATATTCCTCTTCAGATGGTTTTATTAATAATCACTCTTGTTTCCTATGAATGTTCTGTGGTCTATCTAATTAGATGAAATCAAGACAAGTCAGGTTTTGTGATTACAAGGACAATTAAGGTCAAACTATCAATAGCAATAAGCCTAGGTCCTTTATCCATTCTTTTTTTTGTTTTCTCTCTCTCTCATTTTTTCTAATCTATCATCACCTTATTAAATTATATGAGCTTCTGTTTGCTGAACATTGCCTCACGTCAGTTTTTATTCTTCCACAAAACTGATAGGTTCTTCTTGGAGTTTCTCCACAATTCAAAGCATCTATTTTCTTTTTCTCACATTTTTTATGATATTGTACTGTTACAGTTATACATTGACATTGAAAATATATTTGCTATCATGATTACCTTCTTTTCTAATACTGATCTCTTTATTTTTCTACTGCCATCCCTACCCTATGCCAGAGCTTAAGAAAGCAAATCTACTACCACTTTCATTTCTTTGCCGCCATTTATACTTTTATTCAGTATGGGGACTGAAATTACTTCTGTCTTAACATTTAACATTCACCTGAATTTTCTCTTTCCATTCTTACTTTCATAATCAGATATTCTAAGTTGTAATTACTTTCAGCTAACAGAATATTACCTGTTTGTTCCTCCAATTATGATTTCATTTGTCACCTCTTCCTATTCTGCCAGCCTTATATTGGTTGCCAATTATAGTGACAATATGGTAATCGTCCATCCATCTCTGGCTTTTCTGCAACTTGCATGTTCATTTGACTTTTATTCCTTAATATATGTAGATATTCTTTTTTGTAACAGTTTAATGAAAAACTTACAGAAGGAATCAGTACAATAATTTAATAATTTGTATAGTTTTTTCATGTCTTTTGTTTGATATATACTGTATACCAATCCTTTCCTATCTTTGGGTCATGTAGTCTTATTCGAAAAACTTATAGTTATTAACACTTTAATTGTTTCTTCTTGTGCAACTTTTTCATTAAAATGCTAATTAACCATTTATGCATTTACATTTACTGAATCTTAAATCTATGGAATAACATGAGAGCATTAAAGTGTCATAGTGAATGGTGAATAATTCATTCAGATAAACTTCATACAGATATGTGTGCATAAACGCATGTGCACATATGCACACATACATATACAGTCATAAAATATCAGATCTGTTGCCTTATAAGATTGAATGTTTCAGTTTACATTTACTATTGAGTTTGGTAGGAAAACAGTAATAGAAGCCAAGTATTGCAGTCTATACCTGAAACAGAAACTTTGCTAGCAGACCCTTCTGAGAAATTATGTGAACTATAATAGCATAACCATGGAAACAGGTTCTTGTATAGGTTATTGTATACAGTATTTAAAAAAGAAATACATTTCACAACTCAAACAGGAAAGAGTTTTGATAATGTACTATCACACATACACACACACACACACACACACACACACACACATATAAAAGCCTCTGTGGCGCAATGGTTAGGGTGCAATACTGCAAGCTACTTCTGCAGCCAGCTGCCTACAATTTGGCAGTTCAAATCCCACCAGGCTCAAGGTTGACTCAGCCTTCCATCCTTCTGAGGTGGGTAAAATGAGAACCCAAATTGTTGGGGGCAATATGCTGATTCTGTAAACCGCTTAGAGAGGGCTGTAAAGAACAATGAAGCGGTATGTAAGTCTAAGTGCTATTGCTATATCAAAAGGAATCTAAGGTACAGTGGGAATTTCCAAATAGATGTTTTGAAACATTTTAGATTCTGAGCCTATTAGTCTAATTTGTTTGAGGGAACAGAATAAAAGCTGTTATTTTACTATTTTATTTGCTGTGATTGATTGGATACCACAACAAAACAAATTTCAAGTTTTAGAATTTTCTTTTAAAATTACAACATTCTAGGAAGCTCCCGCTGGAGTTCAGCTGCAGTTACCCACAAAAGGGAGTTCTTGTCTTACTTCACTGTCTAGTTATATAAAATAGTGATTCAAATTCTCATATCTTTCTATAAATTCTTTTCAACTGGTCATGAACTAACATCTGATTCATTAAAATTGATTTTCTTTAATTGCTGGAATTATTATCTTTCATTTGCACAACTGAAATGGAGAATATTTTCTGTTGGGCATCTGTAGTTTTAAACTTATTTTCTTTGATTATCCCAATTTATCTTTCCTATTTATCTTCCATAATAAATGAGAATATACTTATACCAAGTAGGAAATCCTGCAACATCTACTAATATGTTACTTGAATGAAAACATGCACATACACACAAAGAAAACTCAATAATGTTTTAACTTGTCTGTTAGGCTTGCAATACAGTAGTAAATAAAGAACATCTTAATGACATACAATATTTGTAGGTCAGCACCCAGTAAAACTAATTTGTATGTATAATGACCCACTGAGTGCCTCATCATTGCTCTAGATTCCATATCTCCAAGTGCACAAAAAATTCTTTTAAAAATCTAAGTACAGGTACAACCAACCATTTAGTAAGCTTTTGAAATTAGATTGGCACTGAAAAAAGTAATTTATGACCAATTTTCAGAGTTATGCATCCCTGTTGTAGCATCCCAGTGATCACATGATCAAAATTTGAACAGTTGACAACTGCCATGTATTTATGATGGTTGCAGTGTGTTGGACTATGTTTTGCAATGTTCTAACAAGAAAAGTCAAAGGGGAAGCCAGATTCACTTAACAATCATGTTACAAACTTACCAACTTCAAGGATTCTCTTAACAACTATAACAAGAAAGGTAGTAAAATGGGGTGAACTCACTTAACAACTGTCCTGCTTAGCAACAAAATTTTGAACTCAATTGTGCTTACAAGTTGAGGACTACTATCTAGATGAGAATTCATCCAAGTGCAAATGACAAACTTACTTTCAATTAATTGATCAGCTTCTATCATTCTCCAAGTCTTATTTTTATGAACTGATTCTGCTTTTCTAGTTATTCTAAATTAATAAGAATTTGCATCACTGCTTCTGAATATTTAATAATAAAATCAACAACAAAATCAACACTGCCTTTCTGTATTTATAAATTGTTCCTGAAACATGTAAAAATTCTTTAAATCTACTGATAAATTTTGCATAACTAAGAAAGAACATTTTTATTTTGTAAAGAAGTATTAATGTAAATGCTGCTAGGATTTATTCTGCAAGCACAGACAATAGTAAAGAGTCCAATATTAGATCAGGAGTAATTCATAGAAATTTCCCTCCTCAAGGTAGTCCTCAAGTTACAATTGAACCCAAATTTTATGTTGCTAAGTAAAACATTTGTTAAGCAAGTTTGCCCCATTTTACGACCTTTCTTGACATAGTTGTTACGTGAATCATTGCATTTGTTAAGTTAACAGCGCTGTTGTTAAGTGAATCTGGCTTCCCCATTGACTTTGCTTGTCAAAAGATCGCAAAAGGAGATCACATGACCCCAGGACATTTGGAGCGTTATAAATATGAAACAGTAGCCCAGTACCTGAATTTTGATCATGTGACTATAGGGATGCTGCAATGGTCTTAAGTGTGAAAAATGGTCATAAGTCACTTTTTCAGAGCCATTGTAACTTTGAATGGTCACTAAATGAACTGTTGCAAGTCGAGGATTATCTGTAAACTTTCAGCTGTGATCGGAGATATGTTTTATATTTTAGTTTACTATTAGCTTGGTCTAGGATGCTCAGTTTCTCAACTGGAACTATGGCTGAGTCTGTCTGTGTGTTGGGAGCTTAAGAAGTTTCCATTACGCTTCTGATTGCTAGTTTCTGTCTGTCTTCCCTACATAGTGGCTGTTATAGTCCTTACACTGAATATTATAGATGCGGAGTGTACATCAGTATTTAGATTAAACTGAATCTAAAAAGAGAAAAAAAGAGGGCCAGTTTGGGTAATGGTTAACATATCAAGCTAGAAACTGGGAGACTGGGAGTTCTAGTCCTACCTTTGATATGAAGCCAGATGGGTGACTTTGGGCCAGTCACTTTCTCACAGACCTAAGAAGGCAGCAATGGCAAACCACTTACAAAATACCTTGCCAAGAAAGGCGCAGGGACATGTCCAGGCAAGATCCAAGAAACAAACAAGATTGAGCCACAGGAATTAAAAAAAAATACTAGGCAATTCCTGGAAATTTGACATTTAG